GGGGGGGGGGGTGAAAATTAAAAAAAAAAATTCGTGCAAAGAAAAATACCTGGAAAAAAATTCGCTCAACCATTGCCGCAGAGAAAAAAAAATCGTGCAAGCAAACAGCAAAGTGCAAATGGTCTTGAAAAAAAATTCTTGCAGAGGTTAAATGCATAAAAAAATCCTGCAGAGATACGAGACTGAAAAAAAAATCGTGCCGCAAAAATTTTATACTCCCCCCCTCCCGGGATTTCTAATGGTCCGCCCCTAAGTTAGCGGGCACATCAGTTTGAGTTTAAATAGGGGCGTGGCAGGGGGCCGTAGCTCCCCAGAAAAATTGAAGTTGGGGAAAATTATAAACGCGAATTGAGCAAAAATATGGGGAAAATCAATTCAAACTGAGCAAGAAATATGTATGACGATAATCCAAAATGCAAGGAATATATAAGATAGCAGTCGAAAATGCAAGAAATAAATATGGTTTCCAAAAATTTTAACCTCTTTGAAAATTTTCCCAAGAGGTCAGTAAGAGTCATCTCTTATTGTTGCACTTCAGGAGCAAGTGGAGCACCTGGATAAGCGGTGTTTCGATTCCTCTTGCATAATACGACCGAGGGGAATTATAATCCGGCATGCTTTAATTACTGCTTTATATTAGTAATAGAACCACAATCACAGAGGTAAAAGTTACGTGCATTTAGGGACCGGTCATAAAGTTTTCGCTAGGGGGTGTGGAGGATATTTTTGGGGGTACGAAAAAACTTCAGAACTTCTGAGAGGGGTACGAAAAAAACAACAGAGGGGGGGGGTACCAAAATCTTGGTACTATAGGTAGGGAAAAAATTACATTATTGTTGAATGTTATTGTTGTTCTGTTTGTTCCTGCTCTCAGCCCATTGCTAGTTCAAGATAATTAGAAACAGAAAAGACTTGTGATGAATCGGAGACTGCAGAAAATGTTGAGGATATGGTTACCACTACAAGAAGTGGAAGAGTTATCACAAACTGGAAAGTTTTGAAATACATAGATAAACGCAAGACAAATATTAAAATAGAATTAATGATAGAAGGGGGGTATGAAAATTTTCACTTACGTTGAAGGGGGTTACGAAAAATTTTCCATAGGTTTTTGGGAGATCTTGGGAGGGTATGAAAATATGAACTTGAAATTTCATTTATCCTCCAGCCCCTCTAGTAATTACTTTATGACCGGTCCCTAAATAATGCTGCATCGCCAACACTCTTTAATTTTAATATGATATAGGAAATTCGTTTCTGCGTTAAAGCTCATGTAAATCAACTATCATTGTAGGAACCTGGCGCCTACTATGTAAACGTTTACGCCCAGCTTCCAGTGTTATTTCAGAAAGCAGAAGACATGAATATTCCAATGCCGTTAAAAGATAATAAA